AAAATATATAGATGTAATATTATAGTCTTATATATATGTATGTGTATACATACATACACACACACATATATATGTATATATATACACACATAAAAAATCATGAAGAATATTCATTTATCAAGAGTGTCCCTCTATGCAAAAAAATCACAACTACTACAGGAAATCACTCTTGACCAAGATTGTATGCTGTTTGTAACGTGTTTATGTTGCATGGTTTATTGCATTTTTGGCATCTAAACTTTAAAATTGTTGCAAATGTGACTTTGGGTATTGAAATTTATCTATTGGCCAGTCCTTACAGACACTTTTTCCTTACTACCACAATGGCAGAAAGTCGGTATTGCTGGTTCCTTTTATCAACCCCTCTTGTCCAAGTGTTAGTAAATTGGGCTTAGCATCTGTACTTAGCCAGATGAATATAAGGTAAGAACTCCTGTGTATTTCTAGTTGACCATTTTCGGCCTGGCTTTTAGTTCTCTTTTGCTTTGTCTTGCATTGGCTTGGCAAGAACCCTTGCGTATTGAGATTAGTCCCTCAATATCGCTGGATGATAGCTTACTGTGTCTGCCAAACACCTTCGCTATCATGCCTTTTGTGTTAGTCTCAATTCGGTCCCAAATGCTATTTATGGAAAGTATCCAGATTTGCTCATTTGGCATATCTACGGAATGTAGAGATTGTCATGAACACAATGGTGTTTGTCCCGTGTCCAAATTCGCAATCTAGGGACATTCCATATTTAATAAGTTTCAAACTTATCCTAGAGACTAACTCTTGATACTAAGAGAGGCTTGGGGTAAAAGCCCAAAGCATGTGTTCCTCAAGAGGGGAGGTATGGGGGGTTCTAAATGTATAGTAGGGATAGTGGGTAAGTTGGGCATGGTTGACTAACCTGAGGCATAGCTTAACTCCTGCTTGCGTGCTTGTCCTTGTTTTGTGTCCGACTTGGGTTTAAGCCCAAGTTCCACACCATGCTAGCTAGTGAAGTACCTATGTTCTTGCATTAGGCCATCGGTATGCTGAAATAGCGCCAAACTTCGTTTAGCTCCGTTTTGCATGTTGGTCCTGGCATTGGGATGTTGGATGCTCTAGGATTGTTCCAAGTTGCTTCGGCTCCTATCCCTTTACTCCTTGGGTTGCATGCTCAAAAGTTGCTCTGTGGTCCGATTCCATCACTTCTTAGCTCCATGTTTGGGAATTTGACACTGTTCCTTCGTTCAATGGCCAAAGGCCTTGGTCCACACCATTGTCCTATAGACACGTGGCATATGGGCACATAGAGGGTTTAGGTTCTACTTTGTGGTGTTATCCTATGGTAAATCATTATAGAATAAAGGGTTAATACCACATATGCTGTGAAAGCTCTTCATAACATTATAAGGAGGGTCTTCTACCACTTCACATTTGTTAATGACTTTGCCTTCAACCATTAGTTTATGTTCATTCACCACCTCATGCTATGCAATGTAAAATTGTGTTACAAGGTGTGTGGCACCAACCCTATAAAGAAAAAATAACTAAAAAGAAGTAAAGGATATCTATTAAGATTATATGTCATAGATGTTTATCACACCTTTGTAGTGACATCAACTCCGTCATGTGTGATCTTGCACTTGCAGAGTTGCTTCCTTTACATTCTCAGAATCCAGCACTTCTTCTTCTGCAATCTCTATAACAGTGAAATGCTCTTTTACCACTCCCTTTTCACCTTCCTCCACAATATCATCCTCCACTTGTGCTGCTAGCTCTGTGACTTGCAATAGAGGAGGGTTGTATGGAAAACCCACACGCACATGTTTGTTATGTCAGGAGAAAAGAGGATGATATGGTCTCTAATCTCAAATATGTGTCTTAGCAACTATTGCCACTAAACTGTGTCTAGTCCAATAAAGCATGAATCTTTCTATTGGAAAGAAAAAAAAAACACATATAAGCATAAATATGTGGAGGTATATAAATGATATAAACATACTAGTATCCCCACATGCAACTATCCTCAATTAGTATAATAATGCCTTAATTCTCAATATTCTACAAAAGAAATGAGCTGAATAACTTCACATGCATTTCAAAATTCAAAATATACTAATAGGGGACTCGCTTGGAGGTATGTTCACACCAACGAAGCAATATGAATGTTTAGACTCAACAATGCCATACTATAGCTATATATCTAGGTGCATGTCATTAATACAGGTGTAAAACTATCAACTCATTGGCTATGGAAAGAAGAATCTAGATTAAAAAACATATATGCATTGGAGAGGAATAGGTATAAATTAGTTACTTATTTATATGTAAGTATTGCATTGCAATGCACTACAACATAATCATTGTAGCAACCAGTAAACTTAAGCCAAGAAACAAAAACCCATTAATAAAAGGTTTATACTATTAATTTGTAGTGCAACAAATCATTACAATGCTAAAAACCATCATATTCAATACCCCAAGCACCCAAAAAAATGTTTATTTCTGCACTCCAATCAATTGCACTTGCTATTACAAATAAACTGTGAGAAATGAGAGGCAAGACTGATTGATTCAAGCACAGTGCATATATTAGAGCGTGTTACACCTCTAAGCTGTGAGAAATGAGTTACAACAGTGAGAAATGACCTATAGCCATGAGAAATGAGCCATAGCCATGAAAAGTGAATTATAATTGTGAACAATGAGAAGAGAGATGATGATCACAATCAATACATCACAAATCTATGCTCATAAAAATGAAACAAAAAAACCATTACCATGCACCACACCTCCCTCCAAAAGTGTTCAATTAGCTATAGGCACATTATCATTGATATGTATAAAAAGGCATAATTTTCACCTAGTTGTGAACTGGGGAACCACACAAAAATAATATATTGTGGCCTTCCCACACATTCATCATGTCCATCTTTATTTCATTAAACTCCGTACCCAGTCATCACGTATGTATTTAAGCTGGCCAAATTATAAAATTGCTCTACAGTAGCATTTATAAAGAGTTGGTCCTCCTTTATTCATTGACACAAGTATGCCAGTGATATAAAATCTCCTTACACACATAAATAACACCACCAAGTGCGTGATATTATTTAGACTCTTCAAACACTTGCCAGCATAAATGAATCTTTGTAAATAGATGCCTTAAGGCTCTAGCTTGCAATATATTGTGAAACAGAAGTTGCATCAAAACCATGATTTAGATGTGGCGGGATAGCTTTATAGGTGACTCCATATTGAAATGCATGGAAAAAATTAGCTCCAGTCTTCTTTGCGAGACTTGCTCCAAGTAAACATGAGCTAATGTAGCTTTTATCATTTCCTAACTCACTTTATATCTTGCATCTTTTAGTTTGCTAAATCCCTTGTTAGGGGAGAATTTCTTCAAGAAGTGCTTAAATTGCAACAACACTCTTTGAGGGGATACCCTTTCCTAACCTATAGTTTTGAGATATTGGTGCAATGTACACTAGTCCACTCCAAATAAAGCGATAGGATCTTTCATTTTGTAACCTTCTCTCAATTTAACACTCACTTATACAAAATTTTCTTTACTTATTGCAAAAAACTGGCATAAAAAATCACATATATGGCACTAATTTAGACTCTGTTATGCATATATAATTGACACTAATACATGCCTATGCATAAGAAAAAAGTTGTGCTCAAAATATTACTTTGTGAGTCAGATGTGTTAACAATTTATGCATATATATATATATATATATTTTCTAGTTGCAATCACAAATTGTTTGCCATATATAATACTTTAAATGTTGCAAACACCTCTGAAGTGATGTAATAATAATATGCGTGAATTTTTTCTGGATAACAGATAAAGAACCATTCTTAATACCAGATCAGCAATATATATTTCAAAAGCTATAGTAGGCTAAGTAGTCAAGCAATGTTGATGAAACCATTGTACTCCCATATCCTCCTTTTGGAGAAAGCTCGCCATCCAATTTTCTCAATTGGGCTGTGCGTGGAGAGGCTGTACGTCCAGAAGAAGAGTGGAACGCTTTGGAACCTCGCATCATAAAGAAATACCTCATGGCCATGAAGATTTCGTTCAAGGTGCTGTTTGTGAGTGGGAGCTTCCTGTCTGACGAGGTTTTTTCTGCAAAGAGTGTCCTCGTTTTGCCTGCTTCACTCGCATTGCAAACCGGGTGGCAGCAGCCAAGACCTTGTGAAACGCATTGGTCCTTTGCTCATGCAAACGATGCAGCAAAGTGAGGGTCTCCTCCCAGGAACGCCATTACTGAGCGCGGCTAAGAACAAATCCCCCGTAAAAACTCGTCCAGTAGCTTCTTATCTTCCAAGGACAAAGGGCTGTAGGAGCAAGTAACTGCAAAAAGAACAAAATCTTGTGAGTCCCGAATTCAAAGTGTCGCAGCTAGGTGGGACAATAAGTGTAATGACAGAGAACAAGCGCTCGTCACCAGAGACAAACGCAAACAGAAAAAACTTCATAAAACACAAAAGGAGAACTGCAGAAACTAAGTACAGTTCCCCAGCAATACAAACCAGACAGAGAAAAAAAGTAAGATGGCAAGAAAAAGTAAAACTCCAAGGGCAGGTTAGCAAAAAGAACTCCAACTCAAACAACCGCTGCTGCTTACCTGACGCAGCCTGAAGACTTGTCACAGGGGGACTACAAAGTATATTTGCACAGCGTGAAACAAAATTAAAAACACCCACACACACACAGCATCTGAAGCACACACCCATACATCTAATAAAATCCCAAATGCTCCATGCTTTCCAGCACCCCTGACGGACCTCGCTGACTTCTAATATCTTTATAGGATCTTAGCTTTATGCCCTTATCTTTTGGGAGTTACTCTCCTCGCCATAGTACACTGGGATTTGGAGCTCTCAAAGCGGACAGGCAAGTTAGAAGTACCAGAACTAGAAAGTTTCATGCCAGGGTTGCGACTGGAGAATCTCAAGGTAAATTTTCACTCGTATAGAAATTCTAGAAAGCTTTCTTTCACAATCGTTCGGATAGCAAAGTCGAGGAGAGCGTTTTGGTGCTAAAGGCCGCTGCCAAGAGCAAGAAAATCCCAGCTCCAGAGGTGTTTGCAGCATTTAGAGTTTTGGAGAAAGCTTGCGTGGATCCATCCAATTTTTTTGAGACTTTGGGGGGAAGTAGTGGAGCTGAGCCAAGGTGCTGGATGCTTGTCTTTGCTGCTGGAGCCAAAGTGGTAAGAAAACTTGTCATAAATTTGGAACTTTGCTCTTATATTTTGGTTTTCATTTGAAGGTGAGAGAAGCTTTGAAAGGTGGTTCTAGAGGTCAATGCCACTGTAAGTTCCCAAAAAATTTCATCGTTTCCAGACAAAGAGCATACAAAATGGGCTTTACTTTGGCCGTCTTGGCGTGTTGGAATTCACTTTTGGGTAGCCAGCCAATAAAGGCTTTTTTATTAAATAATTACCAAAAAAAGTGTACCATATATAATATTAGAATATTACATTTAGCAAATAAATTTTTCTTTTAATCTTTTTGGTGCTCGTGGTTATCCTTCAAGGTTGGGCCTCTTGGCCCCTTCCAATTCGCAATTAGCAAGAAAAAAGAGCTGGGTCAAGAACCTGGAGAAAAAGATCCCTTCTTCATTTGGTTCTCTACACGGACAAAGAAATTGATTGCTATGAGGGTGCGTTGCAATGAAAGAGTTTGAACTTCAGCCGCCATTGTTTAATATGGTAATATTTAACCATTACTTGTAAAGGTTTTTATAATCAATCTGTTTATTTTTAGCCTCATAAATTTGATCTTATCTCTTTGTCCTATTTTAATTCTTTACTGATCCATTGATATAAAATTTGAAAATGTTAGCATTTGAAACTAAATGCTGTGAAATCCTGCTCTTTACAACAAATTGAAATAGACATTGATAAATCATTTTAGTTTTTAATTTCAACTCAATATTATACTTTATATCTCATATAAAGATAATTCACAAGAAAATTTTACATTGGCATATTGTGTATTTCTACTAATTATCCTATACTATTACCTAACCTTCTTTTGTATTGTGGTCACCCAAATCACATACAATTTGAAATAGACATAAAATACATTTTAAATAGCATCACTATTATTCATTATTCTCACATAAATTTAACTTTATTGTATTCCATCTTTTTTCATTGAATGCTCTTCTGATATAATATTATTAAAAATAAAATTTTACTAAAGAAACTTGGCAAGATAAATGTACTCTTTAAGTATGTGTTTATTTAAGATTTTCACCTTTGCACAAGTATCATAATTAACGTTTTTGGCTTTGAGGTTTCTATAGTTTATTTGTCTTCATTTTGTTGTAAAAAGTTAAAACATTATTGAAAGATTAACAATTAAAGCTTCCATTACTAAACTATTTTTTACTTCTATTTACAAATCATAAAATCTAAAATCTCCATTAACTTTTATATGTTTCAAAGTTCTATTAAATCTCATTTTATAACCACATAGAGTAATTATAGTGTATTATATTATTGTTAAGTTATTATAAATGGTTTACCATCTTCAAATTTTTGCTTATCAAAACATTTTATTTTATTTTTTCCGAAGTAAAAGATTCAAAGTGATCAGCAATGGTTGCTCTAATTTATCGGTTCTAACAAAATCAGTCTAAGCTCCTCTCAATTTGACCCCAGGAGTAAAGCCTCTGGTGCTGAAAGTCATGCCATTGTCCGAAAGCTTCTGGATTCGCGCGGATAGTTCCGCAGCCTGGAAATAAAAATCAATCTAGGCATCGAGTCGAAAACCTGAGATAAACCTTTTCATCAATCCAAACGAGTGAAGTTAGTTGGTTGTTGAGAATTCTCACGACCAAGTCGAGTGGACTAGCATTTTCAATCATATGTATGTCCCCACCCTAGCAAACAACAAAATCATCATTGCCTCGATCAAAACTTGTCAAACTCTCTAGTACCTGACTCGCATTGATATTCTCCACGGTTTCCTTGATCTGCTCACCCATTCGAGTCAGTTCTCTTTCGATGAATTCTGCTTGCTCAAACCTGCAAGAGAAGAAACGAAAGAAATCAGCTAAACATCTCTCCACGCAGAAAGAACACTTACATTGTATCTCTAGTTGCTGTGGCTTCGTCCTCAAGAACGAGTCCTCGCTCGTCCTTGTAGAGCCGTTCAGCCTCTTCTTCTATACTTTCAAGAGCTTTCTCGACCTGATAACAATTGCAGCCAAGTAGGACATCTACGAGTTAGATTGTTGGGAATCCTTTTACCTCTTGCTGATGTGTTTCTATAAGTTCTAGTTGGCGCTCCAGCCCATGCTGTGACTCCACGACTTTTGCAACTTCACTCTGAGAAGAAAAGACGGGTTAAAGACAACACTCTCGCCAAAATCTCATTTACCTCGAGCTTTATGAGCACATTCCTGTTGCTGATAATCCGCCGATCCCACTCCCCAAGTGCCTCAGCCTGTTTACGAAGCTTGGCCGTCCGCTCTTGAAGTTCGTACGTCCATTCTTTTATAATCTGATTTACAAACTGTTAGCTGCTCAGAGTAATGTAATAGCACACCTCTTCCACAGTTTTTCCAACAATCTCTGATGGGAACTTGGGAGTCTTTTCAGCCGTCGGGGTCCTGCGAAAGCATTCCTCCATATTATTGCTAAACAACATGAAAATGAGCAAGCTCACGCAGAGGCTGCTGGTGTCGATGCAGGTACTATAGAAGCTGACGTAGTTGTTGCCGCAGATGAAACAAGGAGACCTCCGGAACCTCCCTGTGTTGTTGTTGCAGGCGTTGTCAACACTGGGAGTAGAATAACATGAAGAAAGACCGTCAACATTGTGAACAACAGAAGGATATAGCGTACCCGCTTCAGTAGTTTTAGCAGTGGTTCCCAAAGATTGAGCTGCTGCTGGCGTTGCAAACGCGAACGGAGCTGCACTGGTTGTGGGCGGCTTTGAAGTGGAAGGAGCCGGCGTAGAAAAGATAGAAGGCGTCGAAGCTGGAGCTGGCGCCGATGCGGGAGGCGAAGCAGCAGAGCTTGCAAACAATGGAGATGCCGGTGACGCTGCAGCACTCGAACTAGCTGCGGCGGCTGGAGTGCTAAAGCTGAAAGACAGTGCTGGAGCGAGCGGCGTCGTAGCAGCAGGCTGGGGTTGAGTTGCTGAAGGTGCTACAAACGACAAAGACGGCGCCGCCGAAGAGCTCGTGTTCCCAAGGCTGAGCGTCGTGCTCGGGCTCGCAGACGACGAAGTAAACGCCGGTGTGGACAGCGAGGCTGCAAATCCAGAGGACGAGCTCGTTCCAGTCAATGGCTTCTGGCCAAATCCCCCGAAACCGGCACTAGCTTGCGTCGTTGCTGGAGTAGACTGAGAGCCAGCGGAAGTGTTCCCAAACGAGAAGCCTTGAGAGGGTGGCGGAGTGGAAGAAGCAGTGGCGGTAGAGACTCCGAATCCAAAACCCGAGGATGGAGGAGCCGACCACGAGGGCGACGAGGATGTAGCCGCCTGTGCCTGGCTCGAAAAGAGTGGCGCAGCCTGAGTGAAGGGCGACGTAGAAGCACTAGTGCTTGCTCCAAACCCGGGTGATGGGCTTCCAAAAGCACTCGCGCCAAATGCCGGAGCTGGGCTACTGCTGGCTCCAAACGCCGGCGCAGGACTACTCCCGCTCGCTCCAAATGGGCTACTACTAGCTCCAAATGCCGGGGCTGGGCTAGTGCTGCTTGATCCAAACGGGCTACTCGCTCCAAATGCTGGAGAGCTGCTCGCTCCAAACGCCGGAGTGCTGGTCGCTCCAAATGCCGGAGTGCTGGTTGCTCCAAATGCCGAAGTGTTGCTAGCTCCAAATGCCGGAGTGCTGCTCGCTCCAAATGCCGGAGTGCTGCTCGCTCCAAATGCCGGAGTGCTGCTCGCTCCAAATGCCGGAGCGCTGGTCGCTCCAAAAGCCGGAGAGCTGCTCGCTCCAAATGCCGGAGAGCTGCCCGCTCCAAATGCCGGAGAGCTGGTCGCTCCAAATGCTGGCGCGGGAGAGCTGCTTGCTCCAAACGGGCTCGCTCCAAATGCCGGCGCCGGACTGCTACTCGCTCCAAAAAATCCCGGCGATGGAGAGCTCCCTGCTCCAAATCCACTACTCGTCGCTGCTCCAAATCCCGGGGCCGGGCTAGTGCTGGCCCCAAATGGCGGGGTACCGGACCCAAATGCCGGAGACGCGCCAAACGCTGGTGTGGAGCTGCTGGACCCAAATGCCGGGCTGCTGCTGGCACCAAAGCTGGGCGTGGGAGTGGCGCTGCCGAAAGCCGGAGCCGAGGATGGAGTGGCGCCGAATCCAAACCCAAATGCGGGCTGTGACGCCGTGCTGCTGGCTGCTCCAAACGTGCCGAAGGAGAATCCCGTCGATGGCGTGCTGCTGCTGCTGGCGCCGAAGCCCGTGAAGCCCGCCATACCTGGAGCTCGCGCGCGCTCCCCTAAAACCCTAAAACCTTGCTCCAAGAAACCCTAATCACAGTTTAATGACGGATATTCGCGAGGCTCTGGCTCGAAGCTTCAAGCTTCGCTACAACGATCGCGACGTGGCTTTCTTCGCAATGGCTGATCCCGATAGGTAGCCACTCGTCCATGCGTTCTGGAAAAGGAGAAGAAACCATTTGTTACCACCATGGTCGTAAGAAATCTCGAGACTTTGGCTCTCACTCGCCTGGAAATTAAAGCCGCCAGTGATGCCATCGACGTTGAGAAGCTGCAAGACGAAAGAGTGTGAGGAGTGGAATTTTTAAGTTCATAGCTCCGCGTACCTCGCCAGCCAAGTAGAGGTTAGAGCATTTCTTGCTCTCCATAGTTTTGAGATTCACCTGTTGAAAACACTAAAGAGCTGCCGGAGATTTTGGAGCCGGACGAGCTTACCTCATCGAGTGGAACCCCTCCAGCAGTTACAAATTCGTCCTTAAACTCCCCCTGATTGACAAAGATCATTGTCACGAGATCCGACGAGGTTGAGAAGGAGCTTACTTTGCCAGAGATTTGGAAGGAACACCGCTTAAGGAGGCCTGCTAAGTCACCCAGCTGTCGATTTGAAAGCTCGTACCACACAGCCTCCTCGTTTAGATCCTAAAAGATTTTTAGATGTTTGAGAGAAAGCTTACTAGAAATACCTGTCGATGGATCAGGTACTGCCAAAATCGCTTCACTAGTTGTAATACCAAAGGGGCGCCGCTATCTAGCTTTCTTCTCTGAAGGAAGAGAACATACTTGCAACTTTACGGAAGTTTTCTGAGAATCGATGATTACCGGAGAAAGTGTTTTCTGCTTTACCAGCAGCTTCTTCACTTCGTCCAGGGAAAACTTCGGTGCGAAGTCCACCCACAAAGTTCCTGCATCAAAACTCCTCAATGTCAAACGCGAAAATCACTAAATAAATTCATCTCTTTCCAAACCTTTGTAGTCTACCTTGAGGAGGTCCCTGGCTGCCCATGCAGAGAGACGCAGCACAGCAGGACCGCTCAATCCCCAGTGCGTGACGAGAAGTGGCCCGTCCTGGAAAGGGAAAACATCGCAAAGCTGTTCGATCACGATCAAACAATATACACCTGCCGCAAGTTGACACTTCGTTTATTCCAGCCCAGAATTTCCAGGTCGACAGAAACATGTTCAAAGCTCACCTTCAATCCAACAAAGGAAACAAACTCATTAAACAAGAAAATTTTGTGGCTTACTTACTCCGGCAAGTTCTCCGAGCTTAGAATCTGCAACCTTAAAAGTGAATAGACTTGGAGCGGGAGAAACAAGATCATGTCCCAGCTCTTTTGCTAACTTGTACCCCTGTCCATCATTTGTCTTCAGTAAGTCTAGCAACATAACACTCTTGATACCTGTGGCGAGCTGCCAGTTGCAAGTAGAGCAAAGTCCGCTTGTAACTTTTCTGAGAATGGCTCGTTCTTATTCTTGAAGTGAACATCAAACCGTCCATTCAGCGGCACAATGTCTTTCACAAGCGCATTGCTCTTTAAGGAAACTGCAAGAATTTCAACATTTCCGGTAAAAAGACCAAACGAACCTCCAATTCGTCGAGCCTTGTTGAGAAGACATTCCACAACAGTTCCGGAGTCGTCGGTTACTGGGAACATTCTTCCATCTTCTTCGGTCTGAGAAACGAAAAATAGAAGCTAGCCAAAGGCACACTTGTACTAACTAAAGCTCGACCTTGAGCGGAACTCCATGCTCATGAAACCAGGCAGCAGTTTCAAGAGGTCCGTGTTCTCTAAAATATGATCCACGAAGTTCCTTGTGGCCCCTTGGATATTGCTGCGACAACGGCTGGAACCAGAACTTAAAGAGTAAAACTCCTCGGCCACTATACTTTACCAGCGGTTCCACAAACAAGCCCGTAGTAACATTACAGCGTCCACCCCCAGAGATTTTCACCTAGGTAGGAAAAGAGGAGCAGGACGAGCGTCGGTCTTCACCAAAAATGGAAAGCAAGAAAAGAACCTTGGATAAAAAGTGTCCCCTTTCCAAGACAACGACTTTGAGATGCTTGCAAGCTGTTTTAGCCCAAATGGCTCCATAGACACCCGCAGCGCCACCCCCTACTACCACCAGCGTTTGTTTCTCGTCTCCTCCACTCTCCACACAGTCGCCCTCCTGCACATACAAGCAGCGGTGTCAATTGCAATCTCAGTGAAAAAGGTCCAGAGCAAACCGCTTGGTTCTTCGCCAGAGAAGATCTCCCGTAACTACTTCCCTGGAGTAGACCCAATGAGTCCATCCAAATCCTCGTTGCGTCGCCTATCTACAGACACACGCTACACACAAACCCATTGCCCATCCAAAAACATTCCACTTAGCATTGAGCCATTCGAATGAGACGTCAGGCAAGGCTTAGCTGAACCAAAGCGCAACCTCTTATTACAACACGATCAAATACATATCTGCAAAAACAAAGCTTTTGCATAAACGCTTCCTTTGCTTGAGCATACCTCAAAAGATCATCACTATTCCATCGTGAATTCGGTTCTTTTGGTTCTGTGCAACACACTCTGATATCCACATGAGATTCCTGATCTCTTGCTCCCGTAGTCGGACGTATGCAAAAAACACTGCGTAGTGGAACTGCAGGAAACACCTCTAAGAATTAGAAGTTAAGAGCACAACATTGAGCAGTTACCTGTTGCTCGAAGGTCAATATCAATCTCTTCACTTCTTCTTCGTAAAATGCCTTGTCGAGCATTTGGCTCTCGCCATATTCAATCTTCGCAAAAATTGGTTGATATGGAGGATATTTCTCCACGGCAGCTCGGACCTGTTCGTATCGTCAACTCTCAAGAATGACAAAAAGCAGTATCTACCTGGTCGGGATCATCACATAGAGCAAGCTCTTCATGGCCATAAGGATACCTGAATAGAAATTATCACTCCCAGAGAATGTAACAAGAAAATAGAATGTTTACAGCAGTCCAAATGACGAGTAAAGCTTGCGCCGATCATCCCGAGTCAACTCAGTGCCGATACTAAAAGACCGTAACCCATCAGTAACCAGCATAGATGACAATTCACAAAAACCTGTTGATGGTTATGTTGACAGCCCTGCGGTCAGCTTCAAAAGCAAGCAAGTCGCACATAAGCTCTCCGGTAGCACCACCAAGTTTCTGAAACCGATGCAATGTGGTGAGAGACCAGAAAAAAAAGGCATTAGCGAACCTTGCAGAAAGTGTAGAAGTCCTCCAAATAAGCTTTGTATAGAGTGTTTCGCATGATTTCAATGTTCATGTCGTCCAAGTCCTGCATAGTCCTGTTCATTTGAGAGCTAATAAGCAAGAATTCCAGAACCTACTTCGGAGGTGATGCATCCAGAAAAGTAAGGAGCCAAGGGCGTATCCACGAGCACAAGACGGTATAGCTCAGCCATGTTGTGAGCTGCGGCAACAGTGGCAATCCTAGGTAAGGAAGAAAAAAAAAACTTAGAACATAGAAAGAACGAGTTCAGAGTAAAGAAAATACCCGTCAAACATTCCCAGGGGATGACACTTTTCAAGCAATTCTTGGACATCTCTTTCGTGAAGAGCTCCTGTGACGATCAAAACCACGTTGTCAATTATGTATCCATACCTGGTGGAGGAGCACCGAAATTCTTAAGCAATGGAAAAAAAATAAAACCATGATTCTATCAACCGAGAGCTTACGTTATATACTCGAGGAACTTGGACAGCGGCTCCGTGGCCTGGACGAGCAAGCTATTGTAATCGTCCACCAATTTCTGGGTACATCGCTCCACAATGTTGGTCGTGTGCAAGGGCGAAGGCTCTAATTGATCGATCGATCAAAATGCGACCTCGCATTCGAATTGGGGGAAGGAGTAGAGAATTTCACTCACCGTTTTGGAGATAGGGGCCATAATCCGTAGCTGAGAGATGCATCTTGATGTCGTCGAGCGTCTCGCACTGCGAGAGATTGTTGTAGTCGGCCGTGGTGAGCATCCCGGAGCGAAAGCCGCGGACGATCGCCTCCAGGAATCCGCCATGGATGTTGAAGGTGAGCGCCTCGAATCCATACATTCTCGCAGATCTGAAAACCCTAAATACGTGTAGGGCTATTTTTTCCTTTATTTTCACTTTCGTGCTACTCCCACAATGTAGGAGGAAATGAGGGGATTCTTGGATGGAAATCGATAGCTGCGAGCGTCGATCGAGGAGAATCTAGCCTTTCGTATGAAGGACAAGGTGTCGCGATTCAAGTGGCATCCATCCGCAAAGAAGACTTGGATGGGATTGAGAAGATTTTGGAAGAGATCGAGCCAGCTCCCATCTGGATCCATCCAGAGATTATGGAAACAGGGGAAAGAAAAGGAGATCTTACCTTGAGCTCCTACGTGCTCCACGAACAAGAATTGTCCTCCGGGTTTGAGAACTCTGATCACCTCTGTGAGCGAAGAAAAGAAAGATCAAAAACGAATTTTCCTTCGATCGATAGATTTTTGGATACCTTGCATCGTAGATGAGACGTCTGTGACAGAGCAAAGTACCAAGGTCGAGATCACCACGTCGATGCTCGAGCTTTCCAAGGGAATTTTCTCGCCAACCTTGATATCATAGGTGATCGTTCATCCTGGGGATTCATTGAAAATTTGCAAAATCTAGTTAGCTTTCGCTTACGCCGTGGATGAACTCGAATTGGTCGCCACGAAATCCAGCTGCTACGAGCGAATTGACGGCGTACTTCTCCATGCTTTTGTTTGGATCCACTCCGGTGATCTTGAGATCATTCCTTCCACTCAAGTACTTGAAATTCACTCCAGTCCCAATCCCGACCTCCAAAACAGTGCGTGCGCTTCCATCGATCTGGCTGAAGAGCTTGGCGGTGTCCTTGATCGATCAAGAACTAAACCAATCACGAAAGTTTTCACATCGATCTAAATTCACCTTGTCGAATCCTGATCCGGAGAAGGAATTCATGAACTTCGCGTACAACTTCTCGATCCAGCGTGGTTTCTTGGGATGGATTCTCTGGATGAATTCCTGGGACGAAGAAGAAGAACGCACACAGATCGATCATGGTAAAAAATCTATCCTCTTTACTCCCTTCACTTACTTGATAGCTAGAGCCATCTTCCATGGAGTCTCTCTCTTTCACTTTCACCTCCGTGATTGGTGCTTTAAAGCGATCGATGGCTCGAATCTAAGCCCCTTGCTCTTTCTTTACATCACAACGACAGTATTTTTTCACGCCAAGGATTAAATGTGCTATCGTTCACGGGAGCGCTTCGCTATAACAAACAAGGCAGAATGGCAAAGCGCTCCTGGTTGGACAGCGCGATAAAAGCTTTAAGATTTTGGAATTTTGGACCACTTCGAGCTCAATATTGAAAGTCAATGTAAGGTCAACAATGTCAATGAAAAGTCAATGTAAGTCAAGTCTTGGATTAACAACTCTCGTTTCTTCCCATTGCCAGGAAGAAATGCGTGGGCGCCATAGAGCAAGCCCTGGATCGCGCCCGTCAGCTCCAGGAGCAGCAAGGGCTCGCGTCGAAGATCACGCAATGCACGGATCTGGCGCAAGCACAAACGCTCCTCGCCCAAGCAGCACAATCCGGCGTGGATCGCCTGGCCAGCGTGGGGAATCCATTGATCCAGATGTTTGGAGAGCTGGATAGAGTTTGTGAGGCGCGCGCGGCGTTTGACAGGCTGCAAGATCCTAGCGTTGTCTCGTGGAATGTGATGTTCACTGCGTATGCCCGGAATGGGCATCCAGAGAAGGCGAAGGAGCTGTTTGATCGGATGCCCGATCGCAGCGTGGTGTCCTGGAACGCGATGATTGGGCTTCTTGCGGGCATTGGCGATTCCCCAGGCGCGATGCAGGTGTTCCGGATGATGAATCTCCACGGGGAGAGGCCAGTGAGGGCCACATTCCTCTCGGCGCTCGAGGCGATCGATGCTGCTGAGGCCAGATTCTTGCGCGCCGTCATCTTGGAGGCCGGGATGGAATCCAATGTCGCCGTTGGCACCGCGCTCGTCAAGTTCTTGAGCAAAGCCGAGAAGATCGACGAGGCCTGGGCTTTGTTCCTAGAAATGCCCAGCAAGAACATCGTCTCCTGGACCACGATGCTGGGAGCTCTTGCCCAGCACGGGAATCTGAGAGATTCGAAGGCCCTCTTCGATCGGATGCCGCAGGGTAACGCTGTTTCTTGGAACACATTGATCTGCGGGTATGCCCACGCGGGGCATAGCAGGGAGGCTCTAGGGATGTTCTTGGCGATGGATCTAGCGGGGATGGAGCCCGATTGCGTCACGTTTGCTGCGGCCGTGGAAGCGTGCTCCCAGCTCTTGGATCTCGCCCAGGGCCGGAGAATTCACTCCGAGATCACTGCGGCAGGGATCATCTCCGAGGAACTGGGACTGGGAGTGGCCAACGCTCTCATCCATCTCTACGGGCGATGTGGGCGAATGGATCTCGCAAGGGCGTGCTTCGATCTCCTCATCCACGAGCGAATTCTTCGCTGCAATTCAATCCCCTGGACAAGCATCGTTGGACACTATGCCCGGAATGGGTATCCCGCGGAGGCGATGGAGCTCTTCCACGCCATGGCCGTGGAGGGTCTGAGCCAAACCCCTGTTCTCTTCATCAGCATGCTCTCCTCTTGCAGCCATGGCGGCAAGCTAGAAATCGCTCGCCGCCTCTTCCTCTCTATGATCCAAGACTATGGGCAGGATCCCACAATCGATCACTTCATGTGCATGCTCGATCTGCTAGCGAGAAATGGGAAGCTGGGCGACGCGCAGGATCTCATCCAAGCTCTGGATCTCCAGTCGGAGGAATTGATCGCTTGGAGGACTCTAGTGGCAGCTTGCAAGAGCCACGGCGATCTCCCCCGCGGAAGAGGAGCTGTGGAGATGGCTATGGCGGCGGACGACGCCATGGCTGCTCCATACGTGATGCTCTCCGCCATGTATCGCGAGCAAGGAGTGGACGGCGGAGATGGCAACGAGCTTAGCCGTTGATGGCAGCCAAGGAATCAACGGCTGGGATGGTTCCTTGCTCGCTATCTCCTAGGGCAGTCGGCAATGGTGATCGATGGCACAGCCGCGAGCTCCAGGATGGGGAAGAGGATTCGCGAGGGTGACGATGAGGTCTACCTCGACAACTATTACTCCAACAAGAGATATCTCACCGAGGTACGAGCTCCAATCTTAGGAAAAAAATATCTCTCTCATAGTTTTTGGCCTGCATTTTTTCCTTGTTCTTCCAGGTGATTTCCTCCTGCCTCAATGGACTGAAAGTCGCGGACGTTGATATCGCCAGTGCTGCTATTCCCGACGAGAACGAGGATTTTGGCGACTCCCTCGATCCAGGAGCTGTGCTTGCCAAATCTTTCTCGTCTGCTCGTAGCTATCTCGGGTAAAGTTCGATACGATTCTTTCTCGGGAGAGAGATCTTTGCTTTGCTTTACCAGGGAGGATCATGTTGCTCTCGATTCTCCAATGTCCGACGATGGCGACGAGCAATTCATGTCCGTGAGCACGTCGCCCAGCCGCTCCTCCTCTCGATCACTAAACTCGTCTCCTCCCACGTCCTCGCTGCCCAGACACCTCCACGAGTCCGAGTGCTGCCGGCTTCCACCATCGCCGAGCGACCCGTGCCACCCCCCGGATTTACGTCGCGCGGCGCTCATGCGAGCGCTCCAGATCCGCGCGCTCTCACCCGGAGGCATCCGGCCCAGCTGCATGTATGATCCCAGGCAGCTCCAGCAGATCCTTGACAAAGACAAGCCCGCGCCGGCGACGATAATCACTCACAGGCGGGGAGACGATCAAAACGAGCTGCTCCTCGGCTCGCCACCCCACGGCCAGTTTCCATCGCAGGTCTTCCGAGCTTCCAACGCGGTTGCGAGCAGGAGCTTGGTCCTGGACGACGATCAAAAGCCGGTGGAGTCCGTGGCCACGGCTGAGGGCATGGACAGGAGCGAAGACGTGCTGAGCGAGCCCAGCGTTCCAAGACGGAGTCGGAGCCGGAGGAGGCCCGGTGAGGAGTGCCACTGGTCGAGGATGAAACGAGGAAAGCTACACCAAAACTCCATCTCCAGCTTGAAAAAGGTGGAAGGCTCGACCGAGATATCAGACACGGAGTCATGTTTGTGAACGGTATTCTTTTCTTCTTTCGGTTTTCTTAACTCTCAGCTTCTTTATCTCATCTTTGCAGTGTGTCCTCGAGACTTCGTATGGTCTTGTGATCTCCGACGCGCAAGTAAGCTTTTCTCTATCGATTCTTTGCTCAAAATCTGATTTTTACAGTATCACCTTTTATCACACCAAGGTCGTGGATGCTGTTTCTATACTCTAGGAATTTTACTCCCGCAAGCACAAGGACAGGCAAAGTAAGTACTCTCTCATCCTGACAAAACCGATGGATTCTCTTCAGCTGGGACCAACAGGGACGAAGAAGCATTTATTTGTTTCGTTTCGCGATTGCGTCTCTACTATTCAGTCAATGCTGTTGGTGCTGCTGCTGCTGGTGGCCTGTGCAGTGAAAGGGGAGAGAATATTGCCGAATGCGAGCTTTTGATAATATCTCATCCCAGGAGAGCAGCAGCAAACAGCCAGGGCCCGGCCAGCCAGCCATGAATTTTGATTCTTTCGTCTCATTCATCGATCGCGGAGATTGATTGCGGGTTGGCTTTGGTGTTCCAGCGCCATCCATAGCTTGCTTACTGTCACGCAATCACTCCAGGACTTGTACTTAGGAATTATACTGTTTCTCATTTATTTCCTGGGCCAGGAGAGACTCGATTGAGCATTCACTCGGTTAGTTAGCATGGAACATGAGATTATCTTCGTTTCCCGGGTTTACGCGCAAAGATATTTGAAGTGTCACGCCACCGCCGCTCTCCCACTCGCTCGCTAGTGGTCGGCAAAGCTATAAATTCGCGAAAACGAAACGTTTCTAGAAGCCACAAACGACACCATCCAAACAAGCATAGGCATCCTTCAAAGTCAGCTTAAATCTCTCGTTCTTGTGTATATTTCTTGTTCTTATTCTTGTGTGTGTGTGAGAGAGAGAGAGAGATAGTTGGAACCCTTCAACTCTAGAACACTGAAAAAAAATATCTTATAGCAATTTTGGAGATCCTTCACATGTAAAGACCAGCCAGAAAACGCGGGATGCCCATGACACACCCTCTGCTCAGCGAGACCCTCCACTTTCCATTCCTTCCCATTCCGTGAAGATTCATAAAAGAAAGTAGAAACTCCTTTTCTCCTCTGGCTTCACGCAACCGCAGCAGCAACAACAACCAGGGCTCCGATCACGAAATATTTCCATGCTATCTTTGAGATAATTTGTTGTGGAATCCCGCCAACTTTTAATCTTGATAATCCTCAGGGCCCAACCTGGAAAAAGGCACCCCTCGTCGGCCGATCGATCACGTCGATCTTCCTTTGGCGTTTCGTGGACGTGTGTAATGTTTGTGTATAGCTGCCACCTAACCTAATTGCCTTTAAAAAGTTGCGGAGCCATGCATGCGAGGAACTAAAAGGAAAAATAAAGGCTTAGAATATCTCTGTATCTAACATGGCTTGGTTGGCACCGCGCCGCGTTTAGGCCCAGAGTGTGGGGACAAAACAAAAGGCTCTCTTTCTCCATCTGTTATGGCCAAATCCACAATCTTGGACGCCACCCTCGCTCACGCAAAAGGAGCTCTTCTCAAAGAGCTCGCATATTATAGCTTTTAGCCCAGGCAGACAATGTGTGTGTTGGCGTGGAAATTGGAATGGATGAAAGATTTTTTTCTCTCCTGCCAATCAATCAATCAATCATCCGTCAAGGACTCAAGGCAAACTTTTTCCAAGGTCAATCTGGGGCCGTACGGAAGACCCCTGGCTGGACTTCTCGGTAGGATAGTCCTGAGGTTCTAGAACTTAGAGTTGTTGTCTGTCTACGAACCATAGCACGATAACATGACAATGGCGTACGGAAGCTCCCAAAACTAACGGTGGTGAGAGCGCATGACCTCGTTGAGATTCGGGATCGATCGGCCCAGGGGGGGCTTTTACCTTTCACCGCGGTGTACGCCCTTGCCGTAATAAAGTAAAAAGGAAGGACTCTTGTAATTTGTAAACCCGCCATGTTAAAAGAGACGTTAAAAGGCCTTTCGAAGTACAGTTAACTAATCACACCTGACGGAATGTCCTGCATGAGAGGTATATTCTGGCTGAGGAGGTGGTATATTCCGGCGCTATGCCGGAATAAGTGGAGTTCTTGGGGCGTTCGTAATTTTCGCCTAGCTCTTTTTGTAGCGATCGTGTCTTTGGCGTTGCTCTGAAGTTCCTTGCGTCTCTCGCCACTCTTGGAAGAACCCCAGGCGCTCGTTCCCTGGGGACGAATCCGATCCAGTCGTGCACAGCGAATTCGATCAAGTCGTGCAGCCTTAATGGGCAATTCCTCGATTTTGGAAGAGGAGGGCTATGGCGGCGGCGGTGGCGGTAGCGTCCTGTGGGCGCCTGGCAGCCCGCGGCTGTCCTTCTCCAGGGATTTCGTCCAGTCTGATGTATTCACTCCATCGTCGGCGAGGAAGGATCCGGCCTTGATCCCTTCCGCATCCTCGGCCGATTTCGATTTCGGCATGCTTGCATTGCTGCGCTGCGGGGCGGCGGATGGCGAGGAGGGCGTGGAGCTCATCCAAAACGGCAAGCTCCTCCCGATCGATCGCAGCGCTGCGGCTCCGCCAAGGGCGGCGGCGGCCGTGAGCGGCGCGGAGGAGGCGGAGGCGCCTCGCAGTAGCATTGGGAGCGATGCCGAGATCGCCCAAATCACCAGCACCCACGAATCCGATCAATCGCAGCCTCCTCGACACCAGGTACCCCCAAAATCGCCCGCCAGCAGCCGATGGAAGGATCTCCTCACGCTCAATTTCATGCGCTCCTCCTCCTCCTCCTCCTCTCTTTCGATCGAGACAGAGCCCCTGAATCACTCGAGCTCCTCCTCCTCCTCCAAGCTGGGATCCTCCTCGTCCTCCTCTCGCCTCAAGCTCCTGTTTAGGAGCAGCTCCGCGGGAGCTGGGAGCCGGCAGCACCAGCAGCAGCTTGACGCGCAAATCGAGCCCAGCTTGGGGAGATCCGCGTCGGAATCCAAGGTCTCGACATGCTGCAACAATCTCCGCGTCGCCGATGGGGATCTGGTCGTCCGGAGGCCGCCATCCAAATCCGATTCCTCCTCCAGCCAGAACGCTGTGATCTCAGTTCCAGCGGAAACAGGGGACGATCCCAAATCCACAGGGGCGATCCAGAGGAGGAGGACTCGATCGTGTTCTTCCTCGAATCCCCATCCAAGCCCGGCTCCAAATCCGCGGAGGAAGGCCCTGGCCGAGGTGAAAGCCACGGCGTGCTCCCCGCCCGCCATGAGATCCAACGCGGCGAATTACCAGCGCCTGGGTGCCAAGCAAGCGAATCCATCGAATCCCCACCAGGTTCTTCCCACGGTCAAGAACAGCAGCTCCATGGATGGCTGGCGGGTCTACAGCGAGAGGATGAGCAACGCGAGCAGCAATGGTGGGAGTAGCGTCGTGGGGGGCAGTAATAACCACGGGGTAAAGGTGGCGGAGGTTTTGCATATGGAGGTTTGCATGGGGCAGTCCATGGTGGTTTCCAAGGTTGCCAAGGCTGCCAAGGCTTTCACCAAGAAGGAAAACGCTCCAGGCAAGATCTCTGTGAGAACTTGATAGGTAATTACTGATGTTCATAGGTTAGTGTGATAGATCTATGATCCTGCCTGGCATGAAAAGCTATAAGAACTCAAGCCCAGGGGTGATCAATCCATGACAATTTACTCCACACACAATGAATGATCTTGCAAAGTTTGAAAGCTTTGTTGTGCCCTGGGGTGATCAATCCATGACAATTTACTCCACACACAATGAATGATCTTGCAAAGTTTGAAAGCTTTGTTGTGCCCTAAACTCGAATGAAAGAAGAAAGGATCAATGCGGAAAGTGACGGTGCCACACGGAATACTGTCCCATGGATTGCTTCACTTTGCTCGCTCGGATTGCTGCTTTCGCATGAGAAACATGCAAAAAAGCTAAGTCCGAAACGAGCATGGCATTTATGCTGCGATGTTTTTGCCTGGTTCATGCGCAACTTAATGCAAAGTTTCCGTATGACAATGATCTTGAGATATGGACTTGATCATGCAATAATCTTAGAAAACAAGCGTCTACAGTCGTGGACATGGTTTTCGCTCGTTGAACTTGTCAAAACAGACACGCGAACTCTCAACATCTATCGAGTTTTTAATGGAAGCAAACAATAGCAAGCCCACAATGCGAGAGTGGACCTATGATTTATCTTTTGTATCGCGTAATGCTTCGTCTCTCTCTTTCTTCTGGGCAAATGCTCGCAGAGTCCACGCCAGGCACGGTTTAGAAATGGATCCGCTCGAGATCTCACCCACATTGCGAGGATCTATGCATTCGGCAAAGGTCGCGATGCAAACAGTAGGATATCTACGCTTACAAGACAAGATTGCGATATGTGCATCCTAAAACAATGTTAAACAAGTTGAAAAGGAGTGACCCCGCAAAGATTCGTACGCCCAAACTGCTCATAGTCAACCACATCCGCTGCTTTAATAAGAGGTGGCCAATCTACGCAGATCAAGAAAGTTGATAGAAACTTTTGCATGGGCTGTATACTTTTTTAAGAGGTGGATTAGGGTTCTAGAGATTTTAGGGTTCTTCTGAAGGAGACTCGCCCCTGCCTAGGGCGCGATGGCATCTGTTAGGAGGAGCGCATTTCTCGATCGCAGCACCTGGCGTCTCCCCAGAGGTGATGTTTCTCTCTTGAGGAGATTTGGAAATTTGATAGCAAATTTTGGGGCTCTAGAGGGCGAGGGTGTGTATGCCGAGGCGGAAGAGCGAGTGCGCGAGGCTTGCGCGGATGGAAAGGTTCGTAATTCATCACAGGGGATTTTTCTCAATTTCTTTTTTGTTCTTTAGATGAGCAATCGTCGCCTTAAAAGATGGGTGAATGATCGGCTACTTCGCGAGCTCGCTCCGCCTCTGGACTCGATCGAGATTGGCGGACTCTTCGCACCTCCTCCTTGGGGTACTTGAGTTGCACCGCAAAGAGCTGTGTTTTTCGAAACCATAAATGCAGGAGAGAGGAACTATCAAACACCGCTGGAGAAATTGACGGAAGGTGGAGGAGCAGCCATGGCCGCCGCGTGGGAACCCTTTCGTGATAACGTAGACATGGATTACCAGGTAACCTTCTGCGATTCATTGTTTTGCTCGTGTAAAAACTCGATTGGTCTCTCAGGCCGATGTGTTGAGAAAACTTGAGAAGACCGGGAAACGTAAAGAAGCTGCGGCTCTTTGCGCATGGCGAGCAGTGGATCACAATGCTCGCGATGCACTAAAGCGGCTCTCCGATTCGCCACTGCTTCCTATTCTTGAGGTACGAGATATATTTTTTCTTCGTTCCTGTAAGACGGATGGAAATTATTTATTTTTTCTTCTTTGTGAAGAACCAATTGCTCGAATTTGTGAGCGGGAGAGACGACGAGCTCGTACTGGAGATGCCGGCACCGCACCACCGACTGCTTGTGCATGGTCTCAGTCAAGTAAGTTTTTCAAGCTTTTCCCGTAAAAATTTCAGTCTCAAGATGTTTTTTGTTATTCTAGTTTCATGGCTTGGCTTCGCAGTCGGAGCCAGCACCGCCACCACCCCGTGTACACATCACCAAGAGAACAAATTGCCGAAGCGAGGCAGCAAAAGATTCTGGCTTGAACCTGATGAAGTTCCTCCAGGACTGCAGGCAGCCTCCTGTATTACCCCCGACTTCCAGATTATGAAGACCCAAGAAAACTTGGGATGTATCCATACCATGGTAATGTTCCTTTCCCCTTCTGTATTATATATGACAATGCTACTTACATATCGCTCTCGCTTTCAAGCAAGGAAAATATATTCTCGTCTTGCTGGGCGCCGAGAACGCTCGCTACGAGTTCCTCGGGCATGTTGAACGACAGCGCTAGAGTCTCCATGTCAAGCTTGTCAAGAACCGAGCTCCTACCTGGTAAAGTTCGCTCCAAATAAGCTAAAAATTCTTGATTGACAAACACTTACCTATAAGAAACTGCGGTAGCTGGCCGTGCCCGTGATACTCGTCCGAGACTGTGAATCCGAGGAACTTGAGAGGGGCATCTCTGGAAGAAAGCTCGCAGTTTGGAAAGTATCGAGGCACCACGAAGATGGTTCCCTCCTCCAGCCTCCTGTTTAGAGCATTGGTGCCATTCGGGTGCGCGATCTGGATTCTTCCAGTGCCATTCGTTACGACGCCGACGACCATGGCCTGGGGATTCCAGTGCGGTGCCAAAAGTGCTCCCTGGACGGTGAAGAGAACGAAGAAAAATCAGATCTTTCCAAAGCTCTAGATTGGACGCTTACGTTTTTGAGGTTCACGAATGATACTCCGAGACGAGATTTCCTGAGAACGGGCAGTTTCTTGCCCCCCGTCGATGCGAAGCAGCCATTTTGATTCGCAAAAGAGCGCTTGCTGCTCGTGAGGCTGAGGGGCCGAGGAGCTCTCCCGTGCATTTTCTTGTTGAGGAGAAAGCTGGCGACGTTCTTCCAGCTCCAGGCCTCAGGCAAATGTGACGTTAGTTGCGCGAATGCATCCACACTTGTGGGGATGATGGCTTTACTCGGCTGCTGGCTCAAAAACTCGGCAACTCCCTCCTCGGACACCTGATTCTAAAGCTTAAATATGAATCGAAGAAACTTCTTTCGTCACCTTGAAAGCCGCTGAGACTAGCCTTGTGCCGAATCCAGAGAACAAGTTGGACTTTCCAGCGATGAAAAACGGCTTGATGCTTTCGATGTCGATGGCTTCTGACGTGTCGTAGAGGCCATAGATTTCGAGCTCCTCATCTTCGTGCGTACTCAAGAGATAGAACAATGATCCTGCCGCAACCGCGTACACATCACCGGTGCTAAGATCCTGCCTCAACAGCTCGCCTTGTTGATCAACCCATCCAATTCTCGCGCTTCCTAGATTCGAGAGAATGAAATCAATCTTTCCAGAAAGAGCTTCCGTTACCTTGTTGGACGAGAAAAACGAAAGAAGCGTCCAGGTAGTGTGGGAGGAGCAAAGCTCGCGGCCGCAATGTGATAAATCCCAGGCCTACGTTGTGCTTCCGGAGCAAAGGCGAGCTCAAGAGCACTCGAATCTCTCCCCACTGGGTCTTGACGAGCTGCGTTGGCTCTTCAAGGATCAAAGGGCTGCTCCCCTCCTTGGAAGACGAGATCCGCTGGAGCAAGTGATCCTCGCTCGATCTTCCACTTCCACCATGGCAGTGATCACACAAGATCACGAACGCGACGAGGAGAAGGCACAAGCAAGACATCAATCTCGTGTTGATCTCCATGCACCCAAGACACATTTTTTAGTAGCATTGGCGCTTTGGTGCATGGAAGGCACGTAGACAACGAAACCGGTGGTAGCGAACATCACTGTAAATACGACACAAGAAAGCGCCTGTAGCTCAGTGGATAGAGCGTCTGTTTCCGGAGCAGAAAGTCACAGGTTCGAACCCTGTCTGGCGCGAAGCATTTGGTCAAAACCTAGAATTCTTTTAGCTAGATTGGCGAATCGCCAGCTGGAATATCCCGTCTCCGGTGGTCGGGCGTCGGCCGGCAGCAAACGGCGGTTGTCGGTATCCTCGCCCGCCGGCCAGATGTTGCTTTCGTAGCACTTTTATGACGGCGGCATCCTCAATGGGCGAGCATGGCGTGGCAAGTTACACATGCCACGCAGGCCCTTCCCGCGACGTGGCAGAACCCGATTGGAGAGCATCCATCCTCGCATGCCCAAAACATCTGACCGTACGCCTTTTTTTCTTTTTTCATTAAATACCAGAGGGTAAAAACAAAGGCCACGGGTACGTAAAAATGCGCTGGTCCCAAGGGTTATGATGATTACCTTCCCATCATCGTAAAGCAGTGGAGTATACAATGGATACAGCAATGCAATGGCTTCGCATTGCATGTATCACGCAGTCCTTGCTATTGTCCGTGCCCTCCACAGGGCTAGAAATAGATCTTACGTTTAGGCCCATTGACCACATAAGTTACCAGTTGAAAGAAATAAACTTATCGGGAGAAAATACGTAGACCTACGCATACCACCGCCCGCGGCGTTTTCTCTTCTCCCCCACAAGCAAACAAACCGTGGTTGGTGTGTCGTTAACTAAACAGAGCATCATGACAGAATCTCCGGGTGCTTAGATCCTGCCTCGGTCGAGAACTAACGGAGGTTATGCCAAAAGCCATGGCCCCCATGATGGGTGGAATCCATTCACATTCAATGTATGGCATATACTTTTTTACACATCGTTCTCTCTGACGTGAATGCCACCACCACCACCGCCTCAATAAAAACCCCCCAAACGCAACCCCGCGAACGAGGATTTTAAATCAAACTCCACCATTCCAATTTGAACAAGATTCGCGAGTTTTTTTTTTCTCAACTTTTTCTTTTCTGGAATTTTTTATTTGGGGATATTTTTTTCTCTGTCAGATTGATTTTGGTTTTTTAAGACTTTCTGTCCGTGCCTTGAATGCATCCTCCGCAAGCGCCAAACGCGGCGAAGGAGCAAGGAAGATGAGAAAATAGAGGCAGTAGAATTTCTCGGTTAAGGCATTCATTCCAGTGCCGGGTGTGCATGGAGCATGGGAAGCGCCACTCCGGCAATTGCCCCGTGTGGGCATTTGCTGTGGAGAGTGGTGATGCGTGACACCACATCCACGTCCAATCGGGATTTGCTAGAGTTCACATCCTCCAGCAAGCAAGCAAGCAAGCAAGCACGCATTCCAGCTAGAAGCCCTTGGAGGATAATCAATCAATCAATCAATCCTCAAGGAGAGCGATTAAAACAAACCAAAACAAAAAAAAAACAAAGAATACCCATGCTCTCCTGTTCGTCGTGATCCATCGAGCTGGGTCGTCTATGAAGGGGACGATGGAATCGATCGCTCCATCTCCTCCTCCCACAAAATCGGAGCGCGAGAGATAGATTTGATCTCTCCACTTCTTTTTATCTTTTGTTGGGGGACACACAGCGACCAGGGTGTGCCCCGCGAGGGAGGCAGCATTTTCCCCCCAGATTCCATACCATGGGCGAGAGAATTAGGGCACTTTTCCACTCCATCACTTCTTCTTCCACCACTCTTTGTTGAGTGAGGAAGAAGAGAAGGAGCGCGCCTTTAAAGTTTATTTGCTCGGGGAGAGCCAGTGCCTCTCTCTGGAGCGTCAGCCAAAGCTACTTATAATCGCAGTGAAGGAGGGGAGAAATCTCTCCCTCTCTCTCTCTCTCGCGCGAGCGCGCGCGGCGATCGATCTGCAAAGAAGAGATGATAGATAGAATGGAAAGAATGGAAAGAGCTTTAGATATGGCGCCTGGAAGAGCCCAGCTTCTTTTCCTTCCTTCTTCCTCTTCTTTGTGGTACCACTGACACATCGGTCTGGCCTGACTCCACAGTGTTTTTCTCACTCACTTCGATCGCCGCCCTCTCCAGCGCGCCGTCGCGCGGCGAATCTGGCCTAGCAGCCGCCGCTCGATCGCTCGATCGATCATGCTCGCCGCTGGAACGATCTCTGGGTGGCTAGGAACAAGGATCGTGTAAGATCGAAGAGAAGAGAGTAGCTAGCTAGCTTGGGAGCTCGCTCGCGCGATAGACAGCATGGATTTGATGGGCAGTAGCACCAACACGACGACGAGCAGCAGCGAGAAATCCAGCAGCAGTAGCAAATGTAGACGGCTGGGGGACATCCTGCCCGCTACGCCCACCACGAGCAACAAGACCGCGCGGACGAGCAGCGATTCCGCCAAGCAGTCGAGCAGGTCGGGCGGATCGTCGCCCGGCCACCACGGGCAGCTACAGCACCAGCACCAGCACCAGCACCAGCGGCAGCGCTCCTGCGGCTCGCCCACCGATTCCTCCACCGCCGCCACCGCCGCCACAGAGGATCACTTACTACACACGAGCGGATCCATCTCCTCTCCACCGAATTCGTTCGCCAATTCCTCCTCGTCCTCGCAGCACTCTGGGATGATCCTCATGCCTCCTCCGACCATGGCCGGTGCTGGATCGTCCGCAGTTAGCGCATCGTCTTACGGAACTATGGGAGGAGCTATGGCAATGCCGGGGATGGGAGGAGGAGGAGGAGGAGCGATGAATCTCGCGAGATCACCGATGCTCTTCCAGCAGCAGCCAGCGATGAAGCAATCCATGGGTGAGCGTCGCGAGTGAGCGAGAGCGTGGATAGAAGTGTTTTCTAGGAGGATTGATCGATGGTTTTGCTTCGTGACAGGATTCCAGCAGCAGCTGGCGATGGGGAGCGCGAGCAGCCTGCTGGGCCTCCACGAAGCCTTCATGGCGTCGCGCTATCCCTTCACGTCCCTCCAGTGGGCGGAGCTGGAGCACCAGGCGCTGGTTTTCAAGTACATCCTGGCGCGCGCGCCCGTGCCGCCCGAGCTCATCGCTCCAATCCGCTCCACCTCCTTCTCCTCCATTCTAGGTAACAAAGATCTCCCTCCATATCCATCTCTTTCTTCTTCCTCTTGGTTGATCGTTTGCTCTTCTTTCGCTTTCTCTGATTCGATCGATCAGGTGGGGGAGGATCGTGGCCCTGTACGATCCCATCGTCGGCCAACGCTGGCAGTGGGCATGGGGTACACACGAATCACCTCGACGCGGAGCCAGGACGGTGCCGGCGTACCGACGGCAAGAAATGGCGGTGTGCACGGCCCATCGTCCCGGATCAAAAGTACTGCGAGCGGCACATCAATCGTGGCAGGCACAAGAAGAAATCTTCCGCTGCTACGGCGGCTGCGGTAGCTGCGGCGGCGGCGGCCGCCACCACCGGCGGGGGAGGAATGGGAAGAGTCTCGTCCACCACCAGCACTAGCACAAGCACTAGCAGCACGAGTGGTATCATCGCGTCCAGCCATGGCGGCGAGCACCATCCGGGCGAGCTCTCCACCGCGTTTGAGATCTCGAATGCGTCCTCGTCTATGTTCCACCACCATCGGTCATCGTCTCTCGCGGATGGTAGCGTGAACTTGGCGATCCATCACCAGCAGCAGCAGCAGCAGCAGCAGCAGCATCAACACTCGCAGCAGCAGCACCAAGCTTTGATGATGATGATGCGAGGTAGTGGTGGTGGTGGTGGTGGCGGTGGCGGTGGCTCTAACACCACTTGCATTGTTCCAAGCTCTTGCGGAGCTGGAGGAGGATCTCCCGGAGTTTCGTCCCACTCGAATCATCCACACCAGCAGAGCTCCGTCCCGTTGCAATCGAGCTACTTCAGCGCTGGAGCTGGACCCCTCTCCATGAAAGACAGGTACTTCGAAACCACCATAACTTAAATGCTTGTTCTTTCCTTTCGTTTTTTCTTCTTCTTCCTTGGTGCGTTCTTTTTCTTCCTCCATAGCTAGAACTAGAAAGCTAGCTCGCTGGCGATATGTCTTTTGCTTTTCCTGCATTTTCTCTGTTTTGCTTGTGTCGTTTGCTCTAGATTTTTGCCTGCTCGTGGCGTCGGTTCGCATTTTGTTTGCGTGAGAATCTGGAGCTTGAGGTGAGTGAGATGAGAGCTTGGAAATTTGTATCGTTCATGAATGCCACCCATGCACGCCACCAAAGTATTGATTGACCGAAGTGTGATAGTAATTTTTGCGTGGGGAGCTTTTGTGAGAGTCAATTGCGATGAACAGTGGCGAAGGATTCGATCCTCCTGATCGCCTTGCTGCCTTTTAAAAACACTTGTTTGCTTACGACAGTGGCGCATTGGAGTTTATGCTGCGCTGCTTGGCGTTTTGGCTCTAGTGCTTGTTTTCTTCTTTTATAAATCCCCCCCGCGCTGCTTGTCTTGCTCATCTTAAATGGCGAGCTTGTTTTTCATTCTTTCCCTTGCCTTCTTCCGCTTGAACGTTTTTTTAGTCCTTTTCTCTCGCCCGCCCCCGTTGGTGTCTGTGCCTGGAAACCTTTGTCGCCATGTCAATCCCGCTTTGTTTGTCTCGTTTCTTTCTCGTGAGTGTAAGTGTGTGTGAAAGTGGGAAGCGAGAGTGTGCCAAGGAGTGAGATTTGCGTGTGAGTTTGTGTGGTTTCCACCATTGCGTTCATGAAATCATGCATCTGTCATGGATGGCTTCCTTTTATTTTTCTTTGCTGCTTTCTCTTATTTTTTTTCCTTAGAATATGTGGATTTCAGTGCAGCTCTTCCGCATCCTTTCGATCATCTTTCTTCCGTTTGCTTGGCCTTTTTTTTTCAGGTTTTTGAATGGTATAAGTAAAGCAACGTCGTTTGATTTGCGTCCCGAGCAGCTGCTTCTTTCGGAGGTTCCTGGAGGCTCAGCAGCAGCTCTAGCAGCGCCCGGATCCGGGATCTCAGCAAACCAATCCAATTTTCCAGGAGCAGCAGCACGAGGAGGAGTCAATCCAACCTCAGCAGCAGCGCCACCACCATTCTTCCAGCTTCCAAAGTCAAACGCGAGTAGCACCAGCAACAGCGCCAGCAGCAACCCGGACTCGCCATACTTTTCATACTCGAAGCTCTTCCACAACGCGAGCGACGAGTCGCAGCACTGCCTGAGCAGCCTACTCGCGTCGCCTCCGCAGCACCAGCACAACCAGCAGCTGAATTACTACGCGAGCGATCCATCCGGGGCCGAGAAGATCAAACCGGACACCTCCCACGCGCTGCGTCCGCTCTTCAACGAATGGCCGCGCTCCAGGGACGCTTCCACCATGACGTCGTGGTCGGACTCCGACGATCGAAAGCCTTGCCAGCAGCAGCTCCACAAGCTCAAGCTCGGCGGCGGCGGGACGCATCTCTCCATCTCGATTCCAAGCACGGCCTCTGGAGGATCGCATGAAGATGGCGGTGGGAACGATAGCATGGTAAAGCTTTGCATGGGGAGTAGCGTCGAGGAGCTGACGGACTCGGCCACCAATGGTGGTGGCGTGGCCGGAGGTGGTAGCAGTGGCGGCGGTTTGATCAAGCCGGGTGGCGGAGTGGTGGAGCTGGGATGGTTCTCGGCGGCGCGAGCTTCCGTGGGAGGTCCGCTGGCGGAGGCTTTCAATGCGAGCGAGGTGAAGTCGTCGGGCTTGACCTTCCTTGGAGGGTCTGCGAGAGATCTTCGGCAGCTCCAGGTGGTGTCGCCCACGGGAGTGCTGCAGCGATCCGGGCTTGGATCGTTTTCCGAGTCGAGCAGCAGCGCGAGTAGCCCCGGATCGATCAAAGTGGAGCAGCTGCATTGACAACAACGTGAGAGATGGCAGGCTCTGCGAGTGAGAAAAAGAGCTCCCTCCCCAAGTGTTCAAAGATACTTAAAGAGTGGATTTTTTTTTGTTTTGGTTCTTGCGTTTTCAGTTGTATATAGTTGCATACATGACAAAAAGAAAATTAGTCAGTGATAGACACAAGTCCAACATCAAGAACAAGTCCAATAATGAGAAAATATAATTTAATATAAACAATAAAGATTGAAACAACCAATGTAATTATATAGCTAACAGCGGCAAATATCGGACAAAAGGATGTATGGAGCTGACTTTGAAGGATCTATAGATTTCGCAACTTGTGCTCCACGACCAAAATCCCTGTGAAGTTTACACGAGCTCAAGAATGACCCAAAATCAATGCTCTCAGGAAGAACAGGCATAGATTTCAGGAGCTCCTCTGCCTGCCCAAGATGCCCAGCTCTCCCCAGCGCATCAATTGTGGTACAATAGTGCTCCCTGCCTGGAGAGATGCTAAAGTCGCAAATCATTCTTGAAAAGAACAGTCGTCCAGTCTCGACCTGACCTGACTGGCTCCAGATCGAGAGAAGGGTCGTGAAAGCTACCTCGCTTGCGGTATGTCCTTCCACTTGCATCGAATGAAAGAGGTAAATGGCCTCCACACTGTGATGCCCAGTTTGGGCATATGCAGCAAGCATAGCGTTCCATGACACGCCATTCCTTTCGGGCAAAGCATCGAACATTTTCTTTGCTAGAGACGTAAGACCATTGTTTGAAAATCCTGCAAGCATGGCATTCCACGTAATGGCATCTTTCGCGGGCGTAAGAAAAAACATGCGTTGCGCTTCTAAGAGATGCCCGTTTTGGGCATACGCCGTGATCATAGAGTTCCACGCCACGAGATTCTTTTCGGGAATGGACTCGAAGAGGAACCGCGCCTCCTCAAGCTGGGAGCTCTGGGAGAGGCTGGCAATGGTGGCATTGCACGAAACAAGGTCTCGCATTGGCATCTCGTCAAAGATGGCCTTGGCAAGGGATGGATTCCCGGCGTGGAGGTGGCCGACGATCATCGTCGTCCAGGACGACGCATCCCTGGCGACGATCGAGTGGAAGATCTGCGTGGCCTCGTCCATGCGCCCGGATTGAGCGTACGAGTACATGAGCGTGTTCCAAGACACCACATTGGTCTCCTTGAGCCGCTGAAAGAGATCCACCACCTTATCCAATTGCCCTCTCTGGGAGTAGGCCGCGAGCATCGTGTTCCAGGACACGATATCGCGCTTCTCCATGCAATCAAACATCTCTCTCGCGGCGTCCAGATCGCCGCTATCGATGATCGCCTCTAGCATCACTGTGGAGGAGATCACGTCAACCTCCGGGACGGAATCGTAGAGCTGCCTGGCCTGATCGAGGTGGCCCTCTCGCGCGAGCGCTGGGATCATTGCATTGACCGCCACCGCGTTGTGTAAAGGCATGGAATCGAAGATCGCGGCGGCGTCGCTGAGGCGGCCGTGATCTGCGTAGGCCTGGATCATCGCCGTGCATGGAACGATCCCGTGCTCCGGGATGGCAAGGAAGAGCTCTCTCGCGCGATCCAGATCGCCGTGCTGGGAATTCGCGGAGAGGAGGATGATCCAAGAGACGATGTCCCGCGAGGGCATTTGATGGAAGATCTGGTGAGCGTGGAGCAGCCTCCCACTTATCGCGTTTGCCTGAAGAACAGAGTTCCAAGAAACGATGTCCCACGCGGGCATCTGATCGAAGAGGCTGTTCGCCTCCACGAATTCCCCGTTCTGGCCGTATGCCGCGATGAGAGCGTTCCAGGAGATCACGCTCCACTGCGGCATGCGATCAAACATGAGCCTCATCTCTCGAAAGTCGCCCGCTTTCACGTAGCCATGGATCATTGCGTTCCAGGCTATGATGCTTTCCTCCGGCATAGCATCAAAGAGGGCCTTTGCGCTATCCACATCCCCTGCCTGACAGTACGCGCTCACCATCGCCGTCCACGACACTGCATCGCGCATTGGCATCGTATCGAACATCGACTTTGCCTGCTCCAGATCTCCAACGCTGGCATTTGCTTGGATCAAGATGTTCCAAGAGAGAACACCGCGCTCGCTCATTCTAGAGAACAATTCTCTTGCCTCTTCAATCTTTCCATTTTCTACGAATCCTTGCAGCATAGCGTTCCAGCTGACCATGTTTCTTTGAGGCATACGGCTAAATACTTCTTTTGCTTGATCCAAATGCCCTATCCCGGCAAATGCTGAAAGCATTGCGGTCCAAGAAACCACGTCCCTTTGAGGCATTGATCTGAACACATGACCAGCCTCTTCCACCATGTTGTTTGCAATATAGAGCTGAATAAGTGTGTTCCACGACGCAGTGTCTCTCCTAGGCATGTTGTCAAAGAGTGTTCTTGCCTCCTGTACGTACCCCTTTGTGGCATATGCTTGCATTAGCGTTGTCCATGCTACAAGATCTTTGTGAGGGTTTATGTCGAAGAATTGCTTGGCTTGATCGAGAAGACCATTGCGGGTGTATGCATTGAGCATGATGTTCCATGAAAAGAGATTAGGAGTGTCTATGCTGTCAAAAACTTTGCGAGCATCATCTACTGCCCCGCAACTCCCATACATTTGGATGACTTGGTTGAGCAGGAACAAGTTGGAACGGTGCGCACTCTTCAGGATTGATTTGTGGGCGAATCTACCTTGGATAATATCTCTTGACTGGGTGTGGAGCTTGATCTGTGCAGCTAAATTATTCTGCTCTTCAAAAGCTCTATCATTCAACATGAGAGTCCTGGCAAATTGATCTTATGAGCTGCTTGAAGAAACAAAAAATAAGCGTGTTCTTCCTACTGCTTTAAGTTCTTAATACAAATGCACTCAAATATTTTAATATATTAATTTAATTGATGTAATTGTATATTTAAAGGCTAACATAAGATAAGTCTAGCAGTAATATATTAACATAAATTTTAATACTATACATTTAATTTATTATACTTTTGGTAATAAACTTCAGTAAATAGAAAGTCTAAATATTTACTTTTTAAATTATTTTTTAATCATATAATTTATATTAGATAAAAATTCATAAATTTCTATATAAGCAAAACAATATGAATAATTTCTATATGAGCATGTTTTCTGTGTCTATATATTATATTACTACTTGTGTGCGGATGCTTATGAATGCTCATAAATTCATAATGCAATTAAAAGTAATCTATGATTTTTTTCTATTTTTATATGCATTAAGTGTAAAGTCAAGGTTTGTTCTTTTTATTTATAATTAAATTTTAGGTTCTCATGAGTTATATCAAAAGTAACATATGTAGATATTTTAGATTTTCATTTTTTTATGAGCAAACAAATATAAATATTTTAAATTTTCAGTAAATCATACTAAGAAGGAATATTTTTCAGACTCTAAGAACTTTATTATATTATAATTTTTAAAAATAAACTATTTTAATTTTGAAACATAAATTCTTAAAAATATTCATAATAAATATATATAAATAAATAAATATTATTTTTATAAAAAAAATATTCATTACATGTTCTAGTATTGATTATATGATATGATATGATATGATTCAAATGATAAATATGATTAAAAGTGACTACTTTAATTTCCAAAAGTTTTGCTATTTGACTTCATCACATATGAAATACTCTTTCAAATATTTTGAAAACAAAATACTTTAAACCATGATAAAATATTTTTAGAGTATTTTTTTTAAGTTTGAATGGCTTTTATTATGTAATGTAGTACAATCTATATCTTTTTTATTTTGATGATATTTACAATTACTAAGAAAGTTTAGATGGAAATCATATTTTTTGAAAAAACTAAGTTTTTCTTAAAGAGTTAATAAGTAAAGTATAAAAAGATGAAAATTTACATTTTTGCAAATCCATTTTAGATAAGATCTCTTTGTAACTACAGGCATGCATTGATAACAATGATTGTGATGAAACCAGATTTGATATAGAAGGCATTGCAGCCATAAACTCCTCAGCATTTCGCAATTGTCCAGCCCTTGCTAAGACATCTATAAGTGCATTATAATGTTCCTTTAGAGAGCATATATGGTAGTCAAAGACCATTGTGTTGAA